GAGGGTCGTGCAGAAAAAGTGAAAGACAGCACTTTGTAACTGCTACGATTAAGACATATGTCAACTGTGCTTCGATCTTGCTGAGCCACTAGTAGTGACTATGCAGACCCACACCCTTTCTTGATGAAAATGCTATTTCCACTGAAGAAATGTTCTCCCTTTTCTACTGGCTACCTCCTATGTAAAACTTTCCTGAATTTCTCAGGTGTGGGTAAGCCCATCCTTCTTGGTGACAACAAAGGGCCTTGTACAGATCTCTGTTGCTGCATTTAGCATATCCTTTTATTAGTTATTACTCTGTCTTATTTTGCCTGAGTAATATGTGCACAGGAAGATTTGAGACTCATAGCTGACACCTAATACATATCTATGAAATAAAATTTAAGTGAATAAATTAATTTCTAAACCTCCTTACTTTTTTTACTAGCTAACATGGCTGGGCAGTAAGAATACTATATCATACAATTATAATCAGATAAGATATGTTAATGACTATCTCCACATCCCCCCCCCCAAACAATATATATTAATATATACTGTAAAGGAAAAATAAGAGACCAACCTTTGGAAAGAAGGAAATTCAGGTTTAATTTCAGCTTCTCAATGAAAGTAGATATATTGCTCCCTCTGTCTTCTTGAAAACAAAGTCATCCCATAGCAATATGAAGACTTTTATAGCTTATTGAATTAGTTAATGTGTAATCCCTTCCCATGACTCTTCCAATTTGGATTAAAAAATTGCCATGAGCCTTTTAGGGAAGGTACCATGTCTAATTCAACGCTATTTGCAATTCACCCACTGATATTGGTTGGCAATAGTTTTTAACGCTAATTAGCACATTGCAAAGGCCATCCAAAGGGAATCATTTGCATCAGCTGGGGAAAGCAAAACAAGTATTTGTGGGAAATAAGCAATGTTGTTAATTCGCTGGTCACAAGTCAAAGCATTTTTATCAGTTTGGACAATTTTAAATTAAGAAAATTTTTAGTGTAAACAATGAAAATAATGTTCAATTAATGCTTATAATATAGCTTTTATGACAAAGCAAAACTGGTTGTAAATTACAAAAAGAAATATATCAAACTTGTTAATTTATTAATTATTTGGGCAATAGAACTATGGGTGATGGTATTTTTAACCTTTATACTTTTCTATGCAAAGAATATATACCTAAAATAAATAAAAATTACTGTTATTAAAATATCTAGACTTTGGGTTCTCAGTTACAATGTAGGAAGAATTATAGACTTATAGCTTTCAGTTGAAAGAGAACTTAAAGGTCATTTAGTCCTATCTTCCAATAAACATAGGAATCCTATTTACCATGTACCTCACCTATGTATATCAGGTCTTGACCACACACAATGATGAAGCTGCTGCTGTTTTACAAACAGGACATTCCATTGTCACAGAGCTCTGATCATCAGACAGTTCTTTCCTATCTTATATTAACATTTACTTCTCTAACTTCTATAGTCCTCATCCTGTGCTTCCACTCTGTGTTCTATGTGATGACTCTGAGATGGTTATCATATCCTATCTAATCTTTTTTTTT